ATCTAGTGCTGCTCTAACAGAAATACCACAAGTGGATGGCTTTAACAAAGAGAAGTTTATTCTCTCACAGTCCAGTAGGCTACAAGTCCAAATTCAGTCCAGGGGAACACTGTCTCCATTTGCTCTGGAGGAAGGTCCATGTCATTAATCTTCCCTTGGTCTGGGAGCTTCTCTGCGCAGGAACCTCAGGTTCAAAGGATGCGCTCTGCTCCCGGCACGGCTTTCTTGGTGGTATGAGGTTCCCATGTGTCTCTGCTCACTTCTCTCTTTTATATCTCAAAAGAGATTGGGTTAAGACACTAATCTTGTAAACTTCGTTAGTATAACCTCATCATAGTGACAGAGTTTACAACACATAAGGAAATCACATCAGATTTACAAAATGGTACACAATCATAACAATACTGGGAATCATGACCTAGCCAAGTTGACAGATTTTTGGGGGACACAATGCAATCCATGACACCCACTCTGTAACTGTCTGGGATTGGGTCTTTCTTTCCCACTGGATCACAAGCTCTGAGGGCAGATCCCAGTGCTTTCTCAAATCATTGTGCCCCAGCGCTCCTCAGCACAGAATAGATGCTCTATGTAAATGAACAGCTGATGGAAGTCTATCCTCCACACCCACAATGGCCAGGGATGGGTGACTTCATCTGAGGGAAGAAACTCAGCAGCTGTGTACCTGAGCCCTTCTAGGCTTACCAGAGTCAGAGTGGCTTGGGTCTCCTCATGGCACCCTCAAGTCAGGGAATACAGTCCCAACAGGGGGAGGAGCCTTTTCTAGATCTTGATGTACAAGGATGTTCAATACAGCATTGTTTAACTAGCAAAAGCATGGGAACTATCCACATGTCCATCAACAGGGGGTGCTGAAATAACCTATGGGGCACGTATCCTAAGAGGTACTGCAGGCATAAAAAAGGATGAGAGACCTACTGCATTTCTCCGGAATGCTGTCTGAATTACATTGTGTTGGTGAAAAAGCAAGGTGGAGAAATAAGAATATAGTATGAAAACATGTATTTATATATAATCTATATATTCTAATATAAAAGCAAGGTGTAGAAATGAGAATAATCATAATTAGCCAACATATTAAGTGCCAGACACTGTTCTAAGGGCTTTGCAGATATTAAGTAGTTTAATTCTCAGACAAGCCCATAAGGTAAGTTTTGTTATCATCCCATTTCATAGATTAGCCAACTGAGGCACAGAGAGGTGAATTCACTTGTGCAAAGTTACCTAGCTTGGGAGTGACAAAGTTCAGATTCATACCCAGGAACTTTGCCTCCAGAGTCAGTAATCAGAATCACATCATCATAGTCAGTACCGCTTGTGTAGAATTAAATTTTAAAAATTAAGAAGGAAAAGAAAAACATACCTTCCACTGTACACGCTTTTGCCCTTATTGAATTTTTTAGCACACACTTTTTTTTTTGTTTAATGTCTTGAACTGAACAGGGCCTGGTTTCTTTCTCCAGTGGAATCTGGAAGAAGTGGTGAGGAGTGGAAGCCAGATCACACAAGCACCTCCCTCGAGTATGACAGGGGAGAGGCAACTGCCTCCCCAGCCTGCTGCCATCTTTAGCAACAAAGAGGCAGACACTGATTTCAGTGAGGAGCTGAGAAGCCTTGGGCGGGGTGGGTAGGGGGTGAGAGTGAAACAAGGGATGTTGCTGTGCTCCCGCAGGGCAAGGTGACCCACAAAAACCTTGTCCAAATCCCAGCTTTCCATTTTCTGCGTGACCTGGGGCAAGGTAGTTAACCTCTCTGGGCCTCCTTTCCTCATCTGTAAAATATAAAGAATGTACCTAAATCACAGGATTGTTGAGAGGGTGTGATGGGTCATGTATATGTCAACTTGGCTAGGCCATGATTCTCAGTGATTTGGCAGACATTATGTCATCATCCTCCATCTTGTGATCTGATGTGAGCAGCCAATCAGTTGGAAAGGGAGTTTCCTTGGGGTGTGGCCTGCATCCAATATATATGGATGTTGTGGCAAAGCTCATGTGCTCTCTCTCAATCCTGCATTCATCTTGTCATCCTCTGACCTCCAGTTCTTGGGATGCGAGCCAGCAACCTGCCACCTGACTTAAAGCTTTTGAGTTTGTCACTCTTTACAACCATGTGAGTCAGAGGAAGCCCCCATCCTGGTGACTGACCCATGGATGTAGGACTTGCCAGACTCCACAACTGCATGAGCCATTTCCTTGAGATAAATTTCTATTTATGGAGCCTGGTGGCGCAGTGGTTAAGAGCTCAGCTGCTAAGGAAAAGGTTGGCAGTTCGAATCCACCAGCTGCTCCCTGGAGACCCTGTGGGGCAGTTCTACTCTGTCCTATAGGGTTGCTATGAATCAGAACTGACTGGATGGCACCTCACAAGGCTGACCTCTCTTTAGCCCTTTCCAGAGCTGCCTCACCGCCCTCCTGGTGTCAGTTTCCTCATCTGTCTCCACCTCGACCTTCCCCACCCTGAACCCCACCCTGGGGGATCTTGTGACCTCCTGATGCCTCCCCCTGGGTGCCCCTTGGGCCTCTCTTACCCACCATGTTCCCAACTAACCTCAACATCCCCTGCTAAACTTGCCGTTTTTCCCAGGTCCCCATCTCAGGGGCAGCTGGCCATTTCTTGGACTCTGTCCTTGACCCCCCACCCCCAAGCCTGTAAGGCCCATGGCCTGCCCACCTGGCCTCCTAAGCGTCCCTCCACCCACCGCTCCTCTTCCCACGGACATGCCCGGCCCCGTCTCCCACTCTGGCCATGCCCGTGTCCTCGGGGCCATCTCCACAGAGCAGCCAGGAGTGTCTTCTAAAGCCCAAATGTAACCAAACCCTTCCCTGCTTAAAACCTTTCCAGGGCTCTCTAGAGCCCTCAAGACAGAGGCCAAGTTTCCAAACTCATCACCAAAGGACACCTCAGATGTACCCACGTCTAACACTTCACCCTCCTTCCCCCATTCACTTCATACTCCAGTTATAGTGAATTACTTGCCAGCAGCTGATGTCCAATATGCTTTCACACCTCCAGGCCTTTCCCCACTGTGGTGCGATGGATGGCTTTTGTGTGGCTTTTCTCAGCATGGTCTTGAAACTCCCACCTAAGTGATTGGGTGGAGCTGCGCAAATACAGTAATTGTGGCCCACCAAGTGGATTGGTCAGTTTTGCCATTCTGCTGGGCTTAAAATGAGCCATCCCAGAGGGGGTAAGAGAGGATCTTACTACCACTAAAAAAGAAGAGCCAGGCGTGGAGTGCGTCCTTTGGATCCAGGATCCCTTCACTGAGAAGCTCTTGGAACCAGGAGACCAAGAGAGAGATCTGTAACACTGAAGACGGTGAGAAGCGGAGGCGGAGAAACAGCAGCAGCAGAACCAGGAGACCAGCAGACAGCCCGGCCCACAGAGTGAGAAAGCTGAGTGTCTTTGGGGAGGAAGATTGCTGGTGAAGTAGGCTGCCTCCAGGCCCTTAGTGGAGCTAGGTTTGCTGACTCATGGAGCTAGAGATGAACACTTTGGGTCAAGGCTTCCCAGCAGAGTAGGGTGCCTCTGGAAAGAGGTTTTTAACACTTGCTGAGCAGGGCAGAGGCCAAGGGCCAGAGAGAGGTGTACCTGGGGGCATGGCTGAGAAGAGGCTGTCCTGATCGAAGAACTGTATCCTGAATGTTCCCGAACCTCAATTACTTCCCTAATAAACCCCATAATCGTGAGTATTTGTCTGTGAGTTCTGTGTGGTCATTGCATCAAGTTATTGAACTCAGCAGAGAAGTAGAAATTGCCACAGGAGGGACAGTTAGTGTCAGAGAAAGGAGGCACGTCTGACCTCTGCCTCAGAGGAATCAGCCTTGGGCTGTTGATCTTGATCCTCCTTCCCCCTTGTGAAGTTAAAGGAGGTCAGACACCTCTGCCCCCATGTTATTTTTACAGCCACACAGAGTTCCTTCTGCTTGAGATGCCCTCCTTGTGCCTTTTCTACTTGTCCATAGTCTATTGATCTAGCAAAGCCCAGCTCAAATGCCCCATCTGTTCTGTAACCTCCGCAGGGCTTGGTACAGAGTAAGGGCTGGGCAGATGGGTCCTTGGGGCACTGAGTGCTATTACTGATACATCATCTTGGGAGGGGGCAAATGTTGGGGGGTTCAACGTACGGTCAATAGCTTCCTTGCTCTGTGGATGAGACAAGGGGCCTTCTCTCCCCATGCCTCAGGTTCTTCATCTGTGGAAAAGGGATGATAATATTATCTTCCTCATATGTAAATTACCCAGATCAGGGCCTGGCCAAAGAAGGCACCACAGAATAACGTGTTAGGCTCTGTGAAATCATCTTTTGAAGTAGGTACTATTATTATCCCCATTTTAAAGATGAGGAAACTGAGAATCAAGACAGGTGAAGTGACTTGCCCAAGGACACACAGACAAGATGTGGCTCAATTGGGATTTGAACTCAGGCGGGCTGGCTCCAGAGCCCAGTGCATGATATGTAATTGGTGCTCTGTAAAATGGGTAGTTGTTAAGATGGCGTTGTGGTTAAGAGCAGCGTCTTCCATGCCATTGGGATCTGTGCTGAGATCATGTCTGTTTCCTGCCTGCCAGGCTGATGATGAAGATTCTATCACCCCAGGCCTGTCCACACAGGGTCCTGCTCCCTGGAGACACCGGTGAAGGATAAGTCAGATACAGCTTCTTCCCCTGGATACTCCTCTTATGTCAGGTCTTAGTTCGGTTGTCCCTTCCTCCTGGAAGCCCTCTGTTATGAATTGTGTCTCCCAAAAATGTATATCAACTTGGCTAGGCCATCATTCCCAGTATCCTGTGGTTGTCCTCTGTTCTGTGATCAGATAATCCTTTGTGTTGTAAATCCTAACCTCTACGACAGTAACGAGGCAGGATGAGTGGCAGTTATGTTAATGAGGCAGGACTTAATCTACAGGATTAGGTTGTATCTTGAGTCAATCTCTTTTGCGATATAAAAGAGAGAAGCGAGCAGAGAGGAGAGGGACCTCATACCACCAAAAAAGAAGCGCCAGGAGCCGAGCGTGTCATTTGGACCCAGGGTCCCTGCACTGAGAAGCTCCTAGACCAGGGGAAGACTGATGACAAGGACTTTCCCCCAGAGCTGACAGAGAAAGACTTCCCGTGGTGCTGATGCCCTGAATTCTGACCTCTAGCCTCCTAGACTGTGAGAGAATTAAATTTCTGTTTGTTAAAGCCATCCACTTGTGGTATTTCTGTTATAGCAGCACTAGATGACTAAGACAGAGGGGTTTCTGGATGAATGAATATATTCTTCCCATTTGACAGTTGACTAAATCCAGGCTCTGAGAGGGGCAGTCACTTCTCCAAGGCCCAAAATGGGGTCTGATCCCATTGCCTGGTAGAATCGGCACTTGACAAGTGGAGACAGATGAAGTATGTAAGGGAGTGAGAAAAGAGGGTGAGAGGGAAAGACAGAGACAGTGAGAAAGACAGAAAGCCAAAGGGGCACAAAGCGTGAGGGAAAAAGGGAGAAAGGGGCAATGCTCGTGCTCAGTGGAGCCCAGGGCATGGAAACAGGGCACACCTGCCCCTCGCACCCAGCCTGGGGCTGTAAATGAAGGGCACAGAGTTGGTTGCGATGTCTCAGGAACACCTATATGTGCACATGGACACTCCTGTAATGTCAGCTCTGATCCAGCGGGCACCTTAGCACCAGGCCAGTTCGTCTCAGCCTCAGGGCCCCTGCCCCAGCTACCTAGGGATGGAGGCGTAGTCAGTGTGGGAGCCGGCAGTGAGCTGCTGGTGTGGCTCTGACGAGGGGTCCAGAATGTCCACTCGATCATCCTCATCCTCGCTGGCACTGGCAGGGCATGGAGTGGGCATCAAGATGAGCTCTGTGAAGCCGTGAAGGTCGGACACATGGCGCAAAGTCTGCAGCACCACCACCATGGTGACCAGGCCCAGGAAGAGGTAGGCTACAGAGACAGTAGAGGGGTAATGGAGGGATTTTGGGAGTCAGACCCCCAGGGCAGGCCCATGGCCCTGCAGGACCTCCCGGGGTGGGGGCTGGATCCTCTTAGACCTTCTGAGGTGGGGCTGTGCCCCCTCAACCTCCTCCCGGGGCAGGCCATGATCCCTCAGACCCTCCAGGGAGAGGCCAGCCAGCCACCCCAGACTCACCTGTGACCAGCACCTTGTAGAGGGCCCGATAGGGCTGGCCAGGGGCCTCCCCAGGCACGTAGTCACCCAGGCCGATGGTGGACAGGGAGATGAAGCAGAAGTACAAGGCATCCAGGAAGCTCCAGGCCTCCTCAAGGTGGAAGAAGACTGCGGCTGGCACCAGGAAGCAGATGGTCACCACAACTCCCAGCAGGACCACCAGGTGCCAGCGGGCCGCCCGCCGAGGGTCCCAGCCCCTACGCAGGCTCATCCAGGACAGGGGTTTGTGGGTCAGCAGCAGGGACAGGTGCTGGGCAGAGGCTGTCAGCAGCAGCATGGTGGCTGGCACACCCAGAAGCGCAAAGGCAATGGCGAAGGCCTTGCCCGTGTCAGTCAGCGGCGTTGTGTACCCATAGCCTGTAGGAGCGAGGGGAAATCCTCCTGCCCACTCGGCACCTCCACTCAGGGGGCTGTGGATACCCTAACCAAGGTCTAAGCTTGCCCCTCCCGCAGTCTCTCCTGTCTCCCATGATGGCGACTCCATCCTCACAAATGCCCAGGCCACGAGCCTCGATGGCATCCTCCCCTCCCTCCTCACTCACATCCACACTCCATCCGTCAGTGAATCCCATTGTCTCAACCTCAAACAGACCCTGAGCCCGCCCACCGTCCCCTCCCCTCCGCTGCTCCCCATGGCACCCACCGTGCTCCTGTCCACGACAGGAAGACAGGACCGGTCCTCCTCCCTGGTTTCCCTGCTCCCGCTCCTGCCCACAGCTGCTTCCCACACGCAGCCAGAGGGACCCTGTGATCACCTGAGGCAGGTCACATCCCTCCCCTGCTCAGAACTCTCCTGTGGCTCCATCTCACTCGGGGAAATACACAGTCCTCCCTGTGACCCACAAGGCCGCACCTGATCCGATCCCATACTTCTCGCCTTCCCTCCTGCCCCCCACCCCCCACTGTCCTGGCCGCCCGAGGCTCCTTGATAATCGAACAGGCCCCCGTGCTCCCACCTCAGGGTCTTCCCCGGCTGTTGTCTCCCCGTGGAACATGCTTCCTCCCTCCTCACCTTCTGGTATTCACAAACATCACCTTCTCAGCAATGCCTTCCCAGGCCACTTGATTTAAAACGATAACAAGCTCTTAATACCTTCTAGCATACTAACTCGTTGTCAGGTCGATTCCGACTCATAGCAACCCTACAGGACAGAGTAGAACTGCCCCATGGGGTTTCCAAGGAGCAGCTGGTGGATTTGAACTGCCGACCTTTTCTTTAGCAGCCGAGCTCTTAACCACTGCGCCACTAAGGCTCCTTCTAGCATCCCATATGGTTTATTTATTTGGTTACTGTATCTCCCTAGGGTGTCATTCAGCTCCTGCGGGGCAGGGGCTTCGGTTTGGTTCACTGGTATATCCCTGGCATCTGCTCTGAGTGGGCACTCAAGTTGGTATTTGTCAAAATAACGAATGAAGGGTATGGGTTCTAGCCTGGGTCTGTGCCTTAGTTTCGTCTGCTCTAAAGTGGGTCTGACAAATCCCTGCACCCCCAGGTTCCCAGAGGACTGTGGGAAACAGTAAAGTCAGTGTGGGTGTGAGCTCTGCAAACAGAAACATGACAAGGGAATTCAGGGGGTGGTGGGACCGGCCCACTGTGGCAACATCTGATTTAAAGGTCTCTTTTCGTTTCCCAGAAGGAGCCCCGCTGGCGCAGTGGTTAAGCACTCGGCTGCTAACTGAAAGGTCAGCAGTTCAAAGCCACCAGCTACTCTGTGGGCGAAAGATGTAGCAGTCTGCTTCTGTAAAGATTACAGCCTTAGAAACCCTGTGGGGCAGTTCTCCTCTGTCCTATAAGGTCGCTATGAGTCGGAATCGACTCAACAGCAATGTGTTTGGTTTCGTTTTTTTCATTTTTTCCCAGATAAACCAAAGGGCCAGATATATGACTGGGGTGGTGAGGGGCCTGGTTTACGCTGACAATAAAATGTTATACTAGATCTTGTCTCTAGCTCTATGATCAATAATAAAGTGTGGCAACACTGCAGGCATGAGCAGGCATTCATCTGTGCCTATCTTCCATAAAACAGAATTCCCTGGTTTTAATCTGGACCCATCTGACATAAAGACAGTTTCCCCTTCCTTCGCAGCTAGGCATGACTCTGTGGCTAAAGTCTGGTCATGGAGGTATTCGTGAAAGAAACAAGCAACTTCCAGAAGGTGTCCTTAAAGGGAGGAGGAATGCCTCTCTCCCTCCTGTCCTCTCTCCTCCTGCTGGCTGGAATGCAGACACGAAGGCTGGAGTTGAGCAGCCATGTTGGACCATGAGGTGACCTTAGAAAGAGAAGCCAGGCCCAGAGCAGTAATAAAGGAGAATGAAGTAGAAGCAGCCTTGGTCCCTGACTGTGCAGCATCATTCCATTTTATTTAAGTCACTGCAATTTGAGGTTTCTCATTTGTGATTTCAACCCTCATTAATACAAGGGTTTTGATGGAGGAACTCCAGCAGCCTGGCTGAAATGTCAGGTTTGCAAATGACACAAAATCCTTACAAATACAAAAATGAGACAGTTCGAGTAAAATAGGGGCCATGAGCCTCAACTTAACTACTTCAAAGAGCCAAGTTCAGATCAGTGCCTTGCCATTTATTCCCAGCACGATCTGAGCCAAGATTCCTCTTCCCTGAGCCTCAGTTTCCTTCTCTGCTAAATGGGCTCATAAATAATCCCTACTTCAAAGCAGTAGCAATAATCTGGTGGCACTGTGGTTAAGCGCTCGGATGCCAACTGAAAGGTCGGTGGTTTGAGCCCACCAGCTGCTCCACAGGAGAAAGATGTGGCCGTCTGCTTCCGTAAAGATTTACAGCCTTGGAAACCCTATGGGGGCAGTTCTACTCCGTCCTACAGGGTCACTGTGAGCCAGAATCGACTCATCAGCACCAGGTGGGTGGGCTGGCTGGTTGGCTGGCAGGTGGTAATAATGTTAGGAGTCCTTCGATGGTGCAAACAGTTGAGCGCTCAACTACGAGCCAAAAGGCTGTGGTTTGAATCCACCCAGAGGCGCCTCGGAAGGTCTGCTTCCAGAAGGTCACCGTCCTGAAAACCCTATGAAGCAGTTACACTCTGCACTGAATGCCACTGCCATAAGTTGGAGCGGACTGGATAGCAACAACAATGGTTTAATAATCTTATCCCATTCCGACGAGGTGTGGTGCCTGGCAAGGGGGAGTAAAGATTTACCATCACTGTAATGCCTTTCTTTCTTTCTCCTGATTCCCAGTTCCAGGTGGCCCGCCCCTTCACCCTGGGACCTCTCTTGTAGTAAGGTTGCCTGGATTAACTCCAAGCCCCAGGTCTTCCTCAGAAGAGGAAAGCAGGGATACCATGGGAAGAGGTCTGTCTGAAGAACGTTTCATTCCTTTTCCATTTCTGTTAAATCGCTGAGGGCTCCTGGCTCCACTCACAATGATGATAACTGATAGCTCAACAGTTATTATTACCATCATCACTGAGTGTTCACCACTGTACCAGCACTCACACACGTTACCCTCTTCACACCAAGCCTGAGAGAGTGCAGTGTGTGGCTAAGGGCATGGGACTCTGGGGCCGGATGGTCTGACTTCACATCTCCACTCTACACCTTCCTAGCTGTGTGACCTCGGGCAAGCTGTCTAACCTCTCTGAACCTCAGTTTCTGTTGCTAAAAAACAGGGTTAATAGTGGTTTCCTGCCTCGTAAAGCTGTTGCGCTGATTAACTGAGCTCAAGTCCTTATGTTCTAAGTCCTCTATCAGGCTATTACTATTATTATGAAGTGGGCAGTGTTATTATTCCAATTTTACAGATGAGAGAGGATGCTAAGGCCTAGAGATGAGCAGTAGCTGAGCGGGATCCAAACTAGGTTGTATGTGCCTTGTGTCTGGGTTTCCTCATCTGCCCCACCAGGGACAACTTTGCAGAGGCCTGGACCTAGAAGGAGGTGGAAGGAGGTACACATATGACACAGTGAAGCCCAGGCAGCCTCCCCTTAAGCCCAGGAGCAGGTTGGGCCTGCCTAGCCAGGGAAGGGAGGAACAAGCCCCAGGGAAGGTCGGTTAATTCCAGAGTCCTTCAGGGATCATTCCAGCTCTGCCACTGTGGGCCCAGCTTGTCAGTCCACACGGTGAGGCACCAAAGGCAGAGGCCACCTTCTATGGCTGCACTTCGGGGCCAGGCCGGGGAGTTTTAAGCCTGGGGTAGCCGTGCCCCAGGCACCCCCAAACAAAGAGAGAAAGAGAAAGTTTAGGGGCTGGGGACGGGCTACAGGAGGGGTGGCAAGGCGGGACTCCTGACAACAGCCAATTCCCAGGTCAGTAGAGAGCTGAGGTGGGAAAGGATTTCCCAGGGGGATTCCACCTGAGCAGGGGCTCAGGACAGGAGGCCTAGAGAGTCAGTAATCTTAAATCAGGAGCTAGTGTCCCAGTTCCAAATGGTGCTGGTTTGGGGCTGGGGTCCTGGGTCCAAAGGAAGGAAAGAAGAGGCACTGGTAGGGACTTTTCTAGATCATAACAGGGATTGGGAGAAAAGTCTTCAGGCAGGGAGGGCTTCTGAACCCAGGGATGCCTGAGGAGACGTGATAGGGAGAGACATTGCCAAGGGGTGATTAGAGAGGGAGGGCTCTAGGGCCTTGGTGAGTGTGAAGTCAGGGCTACTCTAGCAAACCCTGCTCACTGCACCAACGGGGCAAATCAGTCCAGGGAGACGAAGATCACCCGCTTCTGACGCCAAATTGTGTGGTGGACAACAAATCCTACTCCACATGCCAGAGGTGTCCTACGGAAATCTGCTTCCCTTCTCTGTTCAGCGTAGGCACCAGCAGCCCTTCTCTCTCTCATTCCCAGCCACGTGGGGCTAGGTCAGCAGGTACCAGCTGCAAGCTTGGGAGTCCACATCACTCCCTCTACTTCAGACCAGCCAGCCCCCACTACTCCTCTGGGTCCTGTAATTTGCTGGAACGACTCATAGAATTCACAAAGAGTATATATAAATGAGGAGCCCTGGTGGCATAGTAGTTACAAGTTTGACTGCTAACCAAAAGGTTGGCAGTTCAAATCCACCAGTCGCTCCTTGGAAACTCTATGGGGCAGTTGTAACCCTGTCCTATAAGGTATATATATGTATATACGTACGTATATATAAATGAAGAGATGTATAGGGGTCACAGCACAGAGCTTCCATGTTCCAAAGAGGGACACGCTACAGCTACCCTCTCTCGTGCATGGTCATCAACCAGGAAGCTCCATCTGAGTCTCCATGTTCATGGCTCTTATTGGCCTCACCACATGGCCAAGATAGATTATCATGCCTCATGAGGCTTAGCCAGATCAAGCTCCCAGGTGGTCCCTCTTGGTCTGGTTAGCCCCCATTCATTAGCCTCAGGTGTTGGTATGTCTTAAAAGAACGAGAACAAAGGCCAAATGGCTTTCTGCAAGGTGACGCCATACCTCACAGTGAGGGTCAAGGGATGAAAACTGTAGCGGTCTTGAGTGGTGTTATGGATTGAATTGTGCCCCCTCTTGCCCCAAAATATGTGTTAGAATACTAACCCCTATACCTGTGAATATAATCTTATTTAGGAATAGAGTTTTTGTTATGTTAATGAGGCCATATCAGCGTATCTTAAACCAATCACTTTTGAGATATAAAAGAGTAGACTAGGCACAGAAGCAAGGAAGCTTCGGCGTGAAGGATCTCTTTTACATGCCCTTTCTTGCCACAGTCTTGTAACTCCCATCAAATGATGGGGTGGTGCAGTGGTTAAGAGCTCAGCTGCTAACCAAAAGGTTGGCAGTTTGAATCCACCAGCTACTCCTTGGAAACCTTATGGGGCAGTTCTACTCTGTCCTATAGGGTTGCTATGAGTCAGAATTGACTTGACGGCAATGGGTTTGCTTTTTTTTTTAAGCAAATAAGGTGCTTGTAGCCCACCAAGAGGATTGGATAGCTTGCTAATAATACAAATACAGTACATGGCATCCTTGTGGGGGTGGGACCCTAACAAGAGGATTGGTCAGTTTTGCCATCCTGCTAGGCTTAAAATGAGCCATCCCACAGGTGGAAACGGGTGACCTGACTACTACCAAGAAGAGACGGGAGTGGAGCATGTCTTTTGGACCCGGGATCCCTGCACTGAGACCTCCTAGACCCAGGAAACAGAGCGATAGAAGCAACACCAGAGACAGCAAGAGATGGTGAGAAGCAGCAGCAGAGAAATGGCGGCATCAGAGCCAGGAGACCGGCAGGAGACAGCGCAGTGGGTGGGCCTCCTGACCCAGGGATCAAGGCGGTTACAGTGGGTATGCCAATCCATGGAGCAAAAGAACTGAGCACCTTCAGGCAGGAGGCTTCCTGGTGGAGTGGGGATGCCTCTGGGTACTTGGCGGTGGAGCTAGGCTTACCGACCCACGGAACGAGAGGGCTGAGTGCCTTTGGGTCAAGGTTTACTGGCAGAGTGGGGTTCCTCTGGGCCCTCCCCTACCAACAGAGGTGAAAGAGCTTTGTAACACTTGCCTGAGCAGTGTAGAGGCTGAGCCCGCCCAAGCAGCCCGAAGGGCTGAGAGCCAGAGTTCTCAGAGCTGTGGGCACAGCTGAGAAGAGGCTGTCCTGATGGAAGAACCGTATCCTGAGTGTTCCTGAACCTGAATTGTAACCTGTTACTTCCCTAATAAACCTCATAACTGTGAGTATGGTCTGTGAGTCCTGTGTGGCCACTGCAACGAATTATCAAACCCAGCAGAGAAGTAGAGAGAGCCGTGGGAGGGATGGCTGGTGTCAGAATTGGTAAAAAGGTTGGAGAGAGGAGGTTATGTCTCACCTCTTCAGAAGAATCAGCCTTGGGCTGTTGACCGTCACTCTCCTTCCCCTTTGTGAAGTTAGAGGAAGTTAGACACCTTCACCGCCATTTTTACAGAAGCACAGATGGGGGAAGATAGATACCATAAGACACGTGAAGATCGCCAAGGAACAGAGAACAGAAGCTGAAAAGAGACAAGGACCTTCCCCCAGAGCTGACAGAGAAAAGCCTTCCCCTAGAGCCAGTGTCCTGAATTCAGACTTCTAGCCTCCTAAACTCTGAGAAAATTAATCTCTGTTGGTTAAAGCCACGCACTGTGGCATTTCTGTTATAGCAGCATTAAGACACTAAGACAAGTGGATACTGGGGAGGGGCCTGGGATACAGAGGGCCTGGAGTCTCCTCGATGGAGGGGAGAATTTCAGGTCCCAAACAGGCTGCGGCAATGTTGGAGTGGTGAGAGGGGTCCCAGGTACCCAGGAGAGTCCCCTGCTTGGGAAGTCCAGAGTGGGCAGGAGGTTTTGGGTTAGGGGTAGCAGGTACAGAAAGCCAAAGTCCCTGGACGGGCATCCTGTGGGGGGAGGGGCTCTGCTTTCACTCAGTGACAGTGTGGATGGCACTGGGGTCCCTGATACAGGGTGCAGGTGGTTCTGGGGTTTCTCAGGGTCCAGAGGGGAGTGAGAGTCTCAGCTAGGAGTTTCTGGGTTCAAAGAGGCCCCAACGGTAAGTCCCTGAATTGAAAAGGACTAGGGGTTTTTGCTGGAGGTGGTTTTAGGGCTGAAGGTTCTCGGCTGGAGGGCTACTGGTTGGAGTCGGTGTCCTTCCAAGAGGGGGTTCTGGCTCTCTCCTTGGTGGGTGTCTTAGTTACCTAGTGCTGCTATAACAGAAATACCACAAGTAGGTGGCTTTAACAAACAGAGATTTATTTTTCTCACAGTTTAGGAGGCTAGAAGTCCGAATACAAGCCACTGGCTCACTCTCTCAGCTCTAGGGGAAGGACCTTGGGTCTTTTCAGCTTCTATTTCTCAGTTCCTTGGCGCTGTTCACGTGGTATGGTATCTCTCTTCCCCCATCTCTGCTAGCTTGCTTGCTTGTTTAATTTCTATCTCAAAAGAGGTTGACCTAAGGCACGCCCTATACTAATATGGTCTCACTAACATAACAAAGACGGCCCATTCCCAGATGGGGTTATAACCATTACAGGGGTTAGGATTATTTGGGGGACACAATTCCATCCATAACAGTGGGTCTCTTTCATGCATCCACAGTTGGGGTGTGCTGAGGGTCTCTGAGTTTGGAGACTCAAATCCAGAGGGAACTGAGGGGTGTCCCTGTTGGGAAGGAAATCCTGTACTGAGGGCTACTCATGTCAAGATGGGCTGGGGTCCCCGGGGAGAGTCCTATGTCTGGAGCCAGGGATACCTGCTGGAGAGTCGGGTGGGGAGAAGGGCAAGGGCCTTCTGGGTAATGGTTTAGGTCAGAGGGTGGGAGTCTCTGAGTCCTTGCTGAGAGATATCCTCCAGGAGTGAGGTCTTGCCTGAGGAGCCCGGAGGGGCAAGATAAGGCCATGTTTGGAGGTTTAGGGTTCTGGCTGGGGCTCCAGGGTCGAGAGGAGGTTAGGGGTGAGATTTTCCAAGAGGCAGGGTACTGGAAGGGCATATCTGGACAGTCAGGTAATTTTGTTGGAGGAATGGCCGTCCTGAGACCAAGAGACGGGCGGGTGTCCTTTCGTGGCTGATGTCTGGGTTTAGAGGTGGTGAGGACATCAGGCAGGGGGGCCCGGGTCCTCACTAGAGGTCTCTGCGGTTGGTCCTAGGCCCAAAGGGGACTGGATGGACCCGGATCTCAAGAGGAATGGGGGCCGAGGAATGGGGTCCCAGATGACCGCGGGTAGGTACTCTGAGAGGGGGCCCTAGCCCGGAGGAAACGGGGGCACTTTCTGTGAGGAGGATGGGCCTCCGGAGGAGGGCGGTGACCAGGGGTGTGGGTGCCGGGTGCTCGTTCAGGGGTTTTGAGGGGATCCAAGGCCCAGAGGGGGTTGGGAGTGATAGGCTGGGATAAGGGAATTGGGTGAGGGTCATCGGGTCCTGAGCGGGGCGGGGACGGGACAGGGGTTCCGGGTGCTCGCAAGCAGTGCTTACGTACCTACGGTGGTGACTAGCGTGCTGGCGAAGAAGAACGCCGAAGCGAAGTCCCAGGTGGCGTCCGAGGCGTTGGCGGTCCCCGAAGCGTTGGCCAACACAGCGCGCCCCAGCCGTCCGGCCGCCAGGACCCGCTCCACGAAGGCGTCCAGGGCGGAGGCAGCCACACACGGGCTGCGCTGCAGCAGCTTTGCCCGCAGCGTCCCCAGCTCGGCTCGGAGCCGAGCCTCGTGCGGCCCCTCCAGCCGCGCCACCAGCAGCGCGCCCAGCACCAGGTACGCGGCGTAGGCTACCAGGGCGCCCGCCAGCAGCGCGCTCCGCCGCATGGCGCCCGTGGGGCCCCCTTCCCGCGAGCCCCCGGCGGTCTGGCTGACGTGGCCCCCGCCTGCCGCCCGGCCGGAGCCTAGTTTCAGTTCCGGGAGTGCTGGAGGCCGGGCCACAGATGCCCCAAAGAGGAAGAGGAGAAAAAGGGGAGGGCGGGGTGGAGGAACGCCCCGCCTCTGGGAAACTGAGGCACGCCCAACCTCCAGGTGTTAGTACTGATAGGGTGGAGCCCAGAGCTCCTGGACCCAGGGGGCCAACGGGAGCCTAGGGATGAGGGTATTCTTCCCTCCCTCCCCTTCACAGGAGTCACGGCAGAGAAAATCTGAACTCTCCTTTCGACTCGCGGACCAAGGAATCGCTCCCCAACTTCTCAGGGCTACTGCGCACCTCTGCGAAGGCTATGCACTGCATCAGGGCGCATGGCTGAGGGGGCAAGTGGGGGCTGAAATGCAGCCTTAGCTCCATTCGCCAAGCCGTGCGCCTAGAGTGGGGTTGCGTCCACCCGGAGGAGACAGCCGTCTAATTCACAACGGGGACATCATAGGGGCAGGTGCCCCCTGTGCCCTCCTGGACAGGGTGGGAATCCTTAGTTATTCACCAAATCATTGCTCAGCGCCCACTTTGTGCCTGGCCCTTTGCTGAGGGATGCTGGGGACACGGCGGTGACTGAGACAGCCCTGGGCCCTGCCCCCTTATGGCTCCCAGTCTAATGGGTAAGACAGGTCATCAGAGAGTGACAGCCCAGAGTGGTCAAGGCTGTGATGCGGGAGGCGCAGGCAGAGGGGTAGGGCCGGGACCGGGAAGGCGCAGGCAGAGAGGTCGGAACTGGGACGCGGGAGGCGCAGGCTGAGGGGTAGGGCCGGGACCGGGGAGGTGCAAGCAGAGGGGTAGCGCCGGCCGGGGATGCTTAGGAGAAAGGGTCGGAGCTGGGATGGGGAAGGCTCAGGCAGAGGAGTCGGAGCTGGAATGGGGGAGGCTCAGGCGGAGGGTGTGGGCTGTTATGGCGGAGGCACAGCCAGAGGGGCCGGGGCGGGGGAGGCGCAGGCAGAGGTGTCAGGGCCAGGACAGAGAAGCCTAGGGAACTGTGGGAGCCCAGAGGAAGCGGTTGATCCAGCTTCGAGAGGTCGAGAGGGCTTTCTCAGGAAGGGAATATCTAAACTGCGATCTGAAGGATGAATAGGAGCGAAGCAGGTCTCTTTTCCTGGCAGAATTACAAATATATACCCCTAATTACGGAGCCCTGGTGGCATAGTGGTTAAGAGCTTGGCTGCTAACCGAAAGGTCAGCAGTCCCAATCCACCAGCCGCTCCTTGGAAACCCTATGGGGCAGTTCTACTCTGTCCTACAGGGTCGCTATGAGTCGGAATCGACTCGACGGCGACGGGTGCTGGTCCCCCTATTCAGGGGGAAATTTTTCCTTTTTCCCATCCGACCCCTATGTTTTTCCACATTCCTCTAGCTAGCACTCATGGCTGTCCCTGGTAGCTTTCTGGATGGTAGCCAGGATCCTGATCACACCTGGCTGACAGAGAAGAGGGGCTCAGACAGCCCCAGCTGGTTCTATTTATAAAACGGTGACGGTTCTTGGGGCAGAGCCCAACTTGGGGCTGACAATCCACAGGAAGAGATACCGGATAATAAAAACACTAACAGTAGTTACCAGCGATCAAGGGCTTACAACATGCCAGGACCTGTGGACACAGGGACTTGCATTGACACCTCAGCCCCTCCCATATTATTCTCATTAAACAGATGAGAAAATTGAGGCTTAAAAATGGAAGTTACACAACTGGTAAGGGGTGAACACGAGACCAGCAGGAAGCCAAAACCTTTGCTTTATTAATATTAAAAAAAAAAAAATCACGGATGAGATGAATCTAGGAGAGGGAGGGTTGAGGATGAGGAAAAAATAGCGGTGGAGCCCAGCGGACAGATGCTAAACGAGAGGTGCAGAAGAGGAATGGGTGCACCTCACTCACAGAAAAGGGCAGCAACTGAGCCAGGACTCATCACTGACAAACCAGGAGCGGACCTCAGGGTCATCCATAAAGACAATGCCTCAGCAACAAAGCCCAGAGTTCCCCCAGAGGAGGAAAGGGAAGCCACAGTGATGGGGTCACTTACTGATACCCTTCCGGAGTACTATCTCTGCCTAGAAGTCACTTCCACCATTATCTTGCTCCAGAGAAGTGGGGGAGACTGAGAGGGAGACAGAGGGGGAGACGGAGGGGCAGAAGGATGGAAGGCCGAGGAGAAGAGACAGGAAGCTTAATTTTCAGGGCCCCTCACTTTCAGGGGCACCTGTGTGTGCTCTGAGTTGCTGGGGTTGTAGAGTGCTTTTGTTGGGCAGGTTGCATCTCGAGAACATGAATGAATTTCTGGTAAATTGCCTAAAGATATCGTTGATGAAAGACATTTGGTTCTTCTCATCTTATCAAATTTGTTGGATGTCCTTTTCTCATTTTAAATATTCACTTTTATACCTAAGAACTGCCCACATTGTATAAACGTTAGAGCCCACACAACTGGGGAGCACCAATGGATCTGCCCTCCCATGCTCCACACTCTTCCGTGGCTCCCCAGTGCCTTCAGCGAACCAAACGTCTCACAGCGAACTCCATTTCCCATCGACCCCTTCGCTCAACGCCTACATTTCCCATCACACCCCCCGC